CCCATTGCACCTGTCTTGCTTCCCCCCCCCCCCTCCAGATAAGTTGGGGACCAAACGTTTCTGACCTGAATCCTTCTTCGCAAAGGGCAACTTTCTGGGGTTCGTATAAAAATACACAATGTCAAAAGTAGGGAAGAAATCACACCTTTCACTGCATCTGAACACAGGTTATTTACTGTACAGCCTTTGCACACACACACACACACACAGATATATATATTTATATTTATATATACACTATTAGAATGCATTCATTTTTCTAATTCCTTTTTTTTCTCTCTCCCTCTTCCCCCCTCACACACACACACACCAACCACCCCCTCACCTCCCCCCTATTCCCCCCCCAAAATATATATATATATATATGTTACCTTTCTGATGGCGAGAGGTATCAAGGCACAAAAATAAAACCTCTTCGGATCTGCTTGGGCTCTCTCTCCAGAAGAGGCTGATATCATTCTGAACATTGGAGCAGAGAGAGAGAGAGAGAGAGACAGAGAGGCAAAAAAGAGAGAGACACAGAAGGTGAGGGGGGGGTGAGGGGAGGGGGGGGAGGAGAAAAAGTCCTGCTGCAATCTCCCAGGCAGTTGAACGTTTAACATGTCAGCAAAAAAAAATATACAGCGGAGCAACAATTTCATAAGTAGAGAGATCTTTGCGCACTCGAGTGCACAGTACAGTACAGAGGGGGGAATGAGACGCACAGCACATTGCAGTGCTGGGCATGTGGATAGATTCCTCTCTCTGTCTGTCTGTCTGTCTGACTCTCTCTCTCTCTCTCACACACACACACTGTCAGTCTCACCCACTCTTTCTCTCTCTCTCTCTCACACACACACACACACTGTCTCTCACACACAGTCTCTCTCTCTCACACACACACACTGTCTGTCTGTCTCTCACACACAGTCTCTCTCACACACACACACACAGTCTGTCTGTCTCTCACACAGTCTCTCACACACACACACTGTCTGTCTCTCACACACAGTCTCTCTCTCACACACACACTCAGTCTATCTCTCACACACAGTCTCTCTCACACACACACACTGTCTGTCTCTCACACACAGTCTCTCTCACACACACACACTGTCTGTCTCTCACACACAGTCAGTCTGTCTCTCACACACTGTCTGTGTCTCACACACAGTCTCTCACACACACACACACACTTCTCCCTTTGCAAATGACTGGGGGGGGGGGTCCCACTTAATGCGGACAAGTTGCAACTTGTGACAAAGTCCAGAGCTGCAAGGGGGTGGGGGTGGGGGTGTGGGGGGGTTGTGTGTGGGAGGAAAGAGCATTGCCAATCAGTCAATCTGGTCTTAGGCGACCTTTTGTTGCAAATTCTGGCAATTAGATATACTGTATAAACTTGCAGCCCCTCCTGGTACACACACACACACACACATGCACAGTTGATGTGTGTTTGCTGTGGGTGTTATCTCCCCCTCTGCCTGTCCTCTGTTCCTGATCTTGAAGATGCTGAGGTTATCTGTGGCTCTCTGGTCCTTTACTTGTTCAGTGATTCAGCGCCGGAGCGGGTGGGTGCGTGAAGGGCACAACAGGCACAAAAGCAGGTCAACCTGTGCAAGCGCCTCAGAGCCTATGTCCGTAACCATCCTTGCGTCGGATACACCCTTGAAAGGCCTCACGGGTAATTACTGCCAAGTGTAGTGACTGTGTATTTGCTGGGATTCACTCTCACACACACGATCGCAAGAGACATTTCATCTCAGCCTGCACTGCCCACCCCATCACTGCATCCGAGTGACTGACCAATTAAGATGAAGGATTGTTCGGCCGGCACTTATTCAGGAGAAACTCCTTTCTCTTTCCGAACAGTGTCGGGGGATCTTTGGATGGTTGGACAGCAACCATCTCAAGATGCAGAACACCCTCCCCATAATATAGTGTCCGATCTCGCCCACCCCCAGCCAAGTACTGGAGTGTCAGCTTTGACTATGAGCTCAAGCGCTAACACGGAGTCAGAACGCACAAGGCTTTGAAACCGACTGATAACGGTGCTTGTCTCGCATTGCCCCACATGTGAGCTTTGGGGGGGGGGGGGGCAGTAAAAAGTGACCAGGAGTGTGAGACCCCCTGATTGATTTTTCTCCTCTGAAATCCCTCAGCTACTGACTGCAGCCATCGCCCTATACGCTGAGATCAGGTAACTCAGCACAGCCCAGCTGAAGGACGGACAGTCTCCTGCGGCAGAAATTCGATGCAGATAAAGACCTTTAGCTCGTCGCTTGATGTCAAAGAGAGTTCAGTTAAATTTCAGTTGTTCTCAGAAATTAACGTTTGTCTATTTCCTGTTTGCAACGCAGTCTATTCTTACTTCAGAAGCAGTCATTGTCCGAGGTTAGATCCCAGCCCTGTGCTGAGTGAGCTGATCTCAGTCTGGCCAGTAGTTAGGGGGCCCCGTGTTTGATTTTTGGTTCCCCAGGCTAGGGAATAGGAAAGAAAGAACTTGCATTGTGTCATCCTAAAACACATATCACACGCAAGAAATATCGTGACGGTCCTAAATACTGTGCATCAGTCCTTTGCAGCATATTTTCACCGCTGAGATCAATATGTTTGTTGAGTACAGGTAACGAAGGATATGGAGAAAACGTGAGCTGAGGTACAGATCAGCCAGGATAGAATACTAGACCGGGGCTCAACTAACTCGGGAAGTTAAAGGCTAAGGGGGAAATGGCGGTTAAAAGGGATTGAAACATCTGCCGTGATCTAATCAATTGGCAGAACAGGTTTGATGGCCTCGATAGCCTCCTGTTCCCATGCGCGCGACGCTGAATGAAGTACAGTATTTACAGTGAAATGAATAGACCCCAGAAGAGCGCCCTCGAGTTTCCCGGTGAAACCGTTGGGTTTGCGGGTCACATCGCCGAATTGGGAAAGGCGGATGAGGCCCAGGGTTTGGGCTGTCTGTTGACGCCGGGTTTTGCAAGGAGCAAAGGGGATGGCTCTCCTGGTCACCAGGACTCCCACTTTGTCTGAAATGAGCGTGAGACTCGGAGTAATGCCAAATCCCCAGGCTTTACTGACACACAGTAGATCAACTTCAGCCCCTCGAGCCTGTTCAGCTACGAACTAATAGAATGGTGGAATAGGCTCGAGGGGCTGAATGGCCCACTCCTGTTCCTATGTTTGTAATCCTCGTCCTGCTGTTAAATCGTCCTCCCTACTTGCGCCATACACTGCAGGCTCCTCTAGCCCCATTCTTCTGCCCGTGCCCTCAGGCCTTCCAAATCTAGCCTATGGCTCCTTGCTCAGTCCCGAGATTTCAGCCACAGGAACCCTCTTCTTAAATTTACTCTCACTCTCAATTTCTCTCCCTGTCTTCAAAGCCCTCTTGGGCAGATCCTCCATTCTTCCCATTGTGTCGGGTGAACTTTAACGTTCAGCTGAACAGGCAGACGGGGAGCTTGCTTTAACCTCTCGTTCCAATGGATGGCAACTCTGACAAGACACAATACTTCCAGCCTATTATGAGCACAAAGATCCCATGTGGGGACTTGAATCCACAACCGTTTGACCCAGAGGAAAGGGTGCTACTACCTGAGCCAGGCTGGCGTGTTTGACTTTCGACGTTTAGATGATTTGACTTCCCCGTGAGGATGGAAAAGCACAGGATAAGCTTCCAACGGCTTGAGGGCAGAACAGGGCTGTCCTTCCGAGAGAAGGTGGTGTTGGGAGATGGAAAATCACCGAATCTATATCCGAGTGATTAGTAATGCAGTGTATAAGGTCACCTACAGTGTAATGTGCAGGGAGCTTCTGTAAGTTTTGTTGAAAAAGTTTTTCAAGGTATAAACCAGAGGTCACCACGGAGAGGCTGAACAATTGGTGCATTAGTCGCATATCAAATGGAAAGTGTTCTTACGAAGGTCACCATGACACTTATCTCAGCCCAGGCGCTGTAGAAGGGCTCATTTCTCCCCATTCGAATCTCCCTCTAATTAATTGCCTACTCCTCTCATTTTTATTTATTGGACATCGCCGGCAATGATGACCTGCCGTGTTTGCCTATATAAGAAAAAAAAACCAGAGCACGTCATAATAATTGCTCTAATGCACTTTGAGGGCTTTCGATGTGATAAGATGCAATGCAATAGCAAGATCTATTATTCTGGTTACTCGCAGCTGCGGGTTTCCTCGAAGAGAGTGACAGGGCGGGGAATTGGAACAAGCGTCAAAGAATAATGCGTGCATTATCGATGAAGCACCTTTCGACGACGTCAAAATTTCTCAAAGCACTTCACGGTTTTCTGGACGTGCGGTAACTTGAGTATTCGTAGGCGAACAACGCAGGCAATTTGCACAGCACACGGCAACGTCCCGCGCACAGTCTTGAAGTGAACGACCCAATTTTACCTGTGGCGAGATTGTTGGCTAGGACACGGCGAGGAACTCCTGTCTATTTTCACATAAGCGATGGGGGGTGGGGGTGGGGGGGGATCTTTTAACATCCGAACTGAACAGGTGGACGTCAAAACAATAATAATAATCCTTGCGTTTGATATATATTTGAATATAAATTTGTATAGCCCCTTGTCACGTCTTAGGGGACCTTCTCAAAGCGCTTCACGGAATCGACTAAAGCGAGCGGACAGCGCTCGAGAAAAACAAATATGTCTTTTCTTCCCCCCCCCCCCCCCCCCCTTCCCCGAAAAGGGGAGTGTGTCAGCTTTAAACCATTGCCCAGATTCAGAGAGTCAGCCCTTGTGAGCAGAGAGAGAGAGAGAGAGAGAAAAGATAAAGAGAGCTCACAAACTTTGGTCCTTTTTTTGAAACCCAAGTCAGGGTTTAATAGGTTTGCTTCCCAGGCAAGAGAGAACAGGAGAGGGGATGGGGTGGGAGGGGGGGGGGGGGGGGAAAGGAAGCTAACAATAAATTTGTACAGCAATGAAATGAGAGAGAGAGAGAGAGTTGCTCTGTGTAACACAGACGCACAGACGCAGACAAAACGCACAGAGCAATGTGGGAGCGCAAAGCAAATTGTGTGGACGTTTTCGGAAACTGCAGTCAGATGACTTGGAAACCCCAATCGCTGGTAGATTTCACGACTCAGGAAGTGCAGTGTTGTTGGAGCAGGTCAGTGAGTGTGGGGGTATATATATATATATATATATAATCATTTCAGGCTCGAATGAAATCATCCGCGTTCCTCTCCCCCTGCGCCACTTGGCGTTGCATTGGATGGATGGATGGATGGATGGAGTGGGGTAACCTGGTGTGTTGAGGACCACATCAGTCATGGGCTACTGCTTTGCTTGTTTGCTGGTGGAGGTGGTACAGGAGGGAATAGAGAGCTGGGGGTGGTGGGGGGGGGGGAGATAGAGAGAGAGAGAGAGAGAAGGAGGGAGAGAGGGAGGGAGTAAGGGTTCAAAGCAGATATGGCACATTGAAATGAACATCAGTGCAACGTTTTGGGGAATGTCAGAGGGAATGTTCTGTCCTCTGGTGTAGAGGTCCTCTGCAGCCTGAGCTGCTGCTGTGGATCAGGGGCCCACAGGACATGAAACTGAAACTGTCCCTCTGCCTCTTTTCTCCCCTCCACCCCCCCCCCCCCCCCACACCCAAACCCACAAGCCCCCCTTGCACACTCAACGGAGAGAATGTTTGTGGGGACGCTGCTGTGCGCAATTGGCCGCCGCGTTTCGTCCACAAATATACGATCGATTCACTTTCCAGCCTATTCTGTGAAGCGCTTTGAGACGTCTCGGAAGACATGAAAATTATAATTATGAATAACAGCGTTGCAAAAAGGTCCTTTTTTGGGAGGTGGGGAGGTAGGGTGGGGGTGGGGTGTGGGGGGGGGGGTGATGGCTGAGAGAAGCTACCTCCTTGCAACATCGCAGTCTGAGACCAACGCAGGGGTGTGGGTTACAGTGAAACTTACCTGATGTGTTGAGGCAGTCTCGGGCCATCTGACCAGATCGGGCTTATTACTGTACAGAAGCCGGGTTCTGGCAGGGTATCACGTGGCTCATTTATATGTATTTCTGGGTCATTATTGATCAGAGCAGCCAAGGCTTGTGATGCAGGATGCTGCCAAGGTTGAGGAGACGAGGGTAATGCAGCAATGGAGTACGGTTGAATAATAATCCTCGCATTTGATGCAGCACCTCAGCACACCGTTGAGACGTCCCAAAGCGCTTCACAAAATATACTGTCAAGTGGATTGACTGTTATTCGAGGCCGAAATGCGGCAGCCGATTGCGCACAACCGCGTCCCCACAAACTGTGGCGGATTGAGTGACCACATTAATTATTTTTGTTTTTCGAAGGGGTTATTACCCCCGGGGAAAAAGCCATCCGCCAATCGACTAACAAGCGGATTCCCACTTATCGCCAGCCAAACCGAGGCAGTGGAGAAAGGAAACCTGCCTGAGCTTTTGTCACTTAGAAGAGAAGGGGGAGTTTGTTAAGGACGGACACCAGGAAGAATTTCTTTACCCTGAGGGTGGCGAGACTGTTTATTTTAATCAAGGCCCAATGGTGGGGAGGGCAGGGAAACTGACTGACTGGCTGACTGACTGACTGACGAATAATATTGATTAGGTGACCGGACTCTGAAACTACTTCCACTGTTCCTTTGTGTTTTTTGTTGAAGAAAGAAGACAAGACAGGGAGCGGAGAGAGAGAGAGAGCGAGAGAGAGTGAGCGAGCAATGACCCGGGGACAGGCTGCGATGGGACTATTTCTCTACGGGGCTGTGCTGATGATGTCGCTGGCGGTGGGCAGCTCCAAGGGCCACGTTACGGTGGTGCTAGTGGGGGCCACGGGTGACCTGTCCAGGAAGTACCTGTGGCAGGCCTTGTTCCAGCTCTACACCGAACACAGCAGCGAGGAAAGTTTCTGCTTCTACGGGACGACCAGGCTTGATAAGGCCGAGGCCACTCCCGTGATAGCCAAGGCCCTCAAAGGCCTGACCTGTCCAGACAACGTGCCCTCTGTCAGGTGCTCGCTCCTCAAGGACCAGTTCACGAAGCTGACCCGTTACCAGCAGCTCGACACCCTGGAGGACTACACGACACTGAGCAAGAGCATCCGGGACGAGATGGCTCAGGAGGGGCTAGAGGAAAGCGGGCGCCTCTTTTACCTCTCCGTCCCCGCCTTCGCCTACGCCGACATCGCAGAGAAGATCAACGGCACCGCCCGGCCCCCCGCGGGCTCCTGGCTCAGGGTGGTCTTCGAGAAGCCCTTCGGCCACGATCTGGCCTCAGCCCAGCAGCTGGCCGAGCAGCTGCAGAGGGTCCTGCAGGAGGACGAGATGTACAGGATCGACCACTACCTCGGCAAGCAGGTGAGGAACGGCGGGTGGGGGAACAGATGTGGGTGAGGGGAGTTGGGTTGGGAGGAGGGAGCTGTACACTCGCAAACCAGGACGACAGCAGCAAGTTACATTCGCACCACGCCTTTCACGTCGGGGGGGACATCCCAAGGCGCTGGACAGTCAGGGATTTGGACCCGAGCTGGGGGTTAGGATCAGGCGGGGTGGAGGGTAAGGGTAGGAGGGTTCGGTCGAAGGCGCGGTCGAAGAGGACTGAGTGTTCGGCCACTCACCCCCTCCCCCCCCCCCCGGCTGCTCTCTCTCTCTATCCCATGGAGCTGGTAGCTCATCTCAATATTTTGCTCCTCCCTCAGTTCAAGCCTTTCCTCCAGTTCGCTTGACCACGACCGCCCTCCTGCCCGTCCCCGCCTGAAACCTCAAGCGGCTACCACACAGCGAAGTCATTCTCTCTGTGCGGTAGACTCTTGAGAAGGGCACTGTCCCTGTGTCGAGAAAGGACTTGCGTTTTCCCAACGTTGAAACGCCTCGAAGAGATTTGCAGGAATTATCTTTCGCTCAGTGACTGTTTTCGCTGGTGAGCACCGTGGCGTTTTTGCACGGAGCGAGGTCCCGCTAACTAGTTGAATGACCCATTTTTTTTGCCTGGAGGGTTGTTGGCCAGGAGAGCGGGAGCTTAAACGGAGAGGCATTTGGAATGTTGGTGCATTCCAAGGCTCGTTTGGGGTCATTGGGTGAGAAAGAGAATGAATCCAAGCCGCTCTCCTTCGCCCTCCGTGGGCAGGTCTTGGCATTACAAGCGAAATCCCCCGTTCCATTCGCCATCTCAGCCACAGGGAAGAGCAACAAGAACAACAACAATATCTAAACGATATCAAGGCAGCAGTGAGTCTCCAAGCATCTCCCTGTCTTCTGATGTTTGATTCTTTTCCCCCTTGTCGCGGTTTCAGGCGATCGGCCACATCTTGAAGTTCCGACACGATAACCGGCAGCACTTGGACACCATCTGGAACCAGCACCACATCGAGAGGGTGGAGATAGTCATGAAAGAGACTGTCGACTCTAAAGGTATGGACTGAGGGGAGAGAGAGAGAGAGAAAGGCGGCCGGTGAATACAGGGCTCAGCAAATAGACGTCGTAGAGTAACAGAGACGGGCCATTTGGCCCAACCGATTGCCATCGGACCCGTTTGATGAATAATAATAATATTCGTTGCATTGAAATGTAGTCTACATGACTAGATTTACTTGAAAGGGAAACGTTTGCAGGACTATGTGGTAAGAGCGGGGGAGTAGGAATAGTTGGTAGCTCTTTCAAAGAGTTGGCGCAAGTACAATGGGCCGAATGGCCTCCTTCTGTGCTGTAACTCTATGATGCTGACTGGGGTCAATGTACCTCTCTCTCTCTCTCTCTCTCTCTCTCTGCAGATGATTAAACATTCAGCACAAATCGTTTTTTTTTTGGTAGCTGCATTTTTTTCTGTTTATTCAGTGAAAGAGAAAAAGAATCTTTAACAGGCTCGCTAGCGAGGAAATCTGCGGACTCGGGACAAGATGGTTTTACTGACTCATATTTTCTGCAGGAGTCTGTGAGCCTTTCTCCTCTCTCCCTCTCCCCCACCCACCCCAGCCTCCCGCTTGCTTCTGGTCAAGGTTATTATCTGTAACAAAGTAATTGGTCTCTTCACCAGAATTGATTCTGATTACCCCGCTGTTTCCTGCCACGTCCTTCAGAGGACGTCCAACTTTGTGTCTCAGTCACTGAAGGAAAGTGGTCCCATCGGTTCAGGCAAAGGATTCCCCCTCGGTCACTGCCTATGTTGCTGTCTACAACTGTACCCCTTCGAAACTGCCATCACCGTGCTTCTCTTCAAACGAAGAGAAGTGGCTGCACAAATAATAGTAATCCTTGCATTTGATATAGCCCTTTATCGCGTGACCGAGACGTCTCAAAGCGCTTCACAGAATATACTGTAAAGTGGAGTGACTGTGTGAAGGGCGCTATATAAATGCAAGCTGTTGTTGTATTGGGTTGTGTCAAGAGACTTACTTAAGTCTCTCTCATACTGTTACTATTGAGTGCCTTTGGGACGTCTCAACAACGTGATCAGGCGCTCCGTTCCGAAGATGATCATAACAACAGCTTTCATGCAGCAACCAACACACGAGGTAGGGTCTTGGAGCCAGAAGTAAACGATTTTGACTCCAAATTTGAAGAGGTTTGTGCTGGACGGAGCGACGGTAAATCGTCAGGGTGAGATCGCTGCAGACCCTGGGCTCTCCCGTCAAATGAACTGCTCCGTGGACTTGCTCCACGCAAAGCGAAGTGCACCAGCCCTCATGGCCAACCTCGGGGCGGGCGAGGAGATATAAATGGGTCTTTAGGTGCGCTGTAATTTTTCACCGGTTGTGTAAGGAAATGAGTAATGTGTTGGTATCAGGGGCACTGGTTCTGTCAGGATGCGCTCCTGCCTTTGGTCAGGAGGTTGTGGGTTCAAGCCCCATCTCGGCACTTCACCTTCTCACGGTCCAGGTGAGTGTTTCACAGGAATTCCTGGCACTGAGTGGCAGTGCACACGGAGTGGTCTGTTACCCTTTGATCTTATGCCCCGAAACTCTGGAACTCTCTCCCTCAATCCCATCCCCCCCCGCCTTGACCCCTCACCTAAAACCCACCTAAAGACCTTTCTTTTTTGGTCATGCTTACGGTCACCTCCCTTCCCTCCCTCCTCCCTCTCCCAAGGTTTCAGGCTCCCACATCAAAGACTGTAAGGTCACTCCATCCTGTAACGAGGGAACGCTGCATCATCAGAGTGCCGTCTTTCAGGCGAGAGGTTAAACTGAGGTCCTGTCTTCCTGTTCAGTTGGAATCTATTGGCAGAAAAATAGAGGAGTTTCTCTTGTTTAGTGGTTCCCCTCCCAACACCCCCATCCCCACTCCAGAACATCCACCTGTTTACCTGTCCCTGTGCTCCCACTCCATCTTCATTGAGCGCTTTGAGCCATTCTCCCAATTGGTTAAAGGCTGCGTGTGTGTCGACGTAAACTGTTCCAGTTGTTTGGAACAGCCACATCGATGGCCATGTTGCTCTTGGGCCTGCAGGTGGCAATGCAATACAATTCCAGGCCTCGGGTTTAGGGCGTAGAACTTGCACTTTTATAGCAGCTCATCGTATCTGAAAGATCACCAAGTGTTCACACAGGAATTGCTGTCAAGTATATGTAATGTCTGCTTTTTTTTGTAGGTTAAAATGTCACAGCCATTTTGCGTACTGTGAGGTCCCATCAACAGCTCTCTCTCAGTTGAATGACCAATTAATGCGGAGATTAGTTTGGCCCGCTCGGCAGAAGAAACTCATTTCTATTTTCGACCAGAGTCAGCTAACGAATGAACGAACGAATGAATGGGCTGATAGCTTCTTGGGTTAGCATCTCACCCCGAAGGAGGGCACCTCTGTCGGTGTATCAATCTCCCCTCCTCTCCCGCGTCCCACTGGTTTGGAGCGTAAGCCCAGACTGTGGGCACCAAGCACTTGGTTGTGAATCTGTTGCAGTCTCGACGATAGTCAATTCTCTTCACGGTGTATCCCGTGAAGCGCTTTGAGACGTCTCGAAGACTTATTATTATTATTGTTTTTTATTCGCAACCGAAAGCTGTCAGGCTGGATCCCTCTGGCCGTGAAAAGGAAGTGTTTCTAATTTTTTAATTATCGCTGTTTCAAATCACGATGGTGTCCTTCTCTCCTCTCCCCCACCTCCCTCCCTAACCACCCCCACCCCGACAACCAGGTCGCACAAGCTTCTACGAGCAGTACGGAGTCATTTGCGACGTCATTCAGAATCACCTGACGGAAATCCTGACCTTCGTGGCCATGGAGACCCCGGTGAACCTCAGCAGCTCCGAGGAGATTCACAGGAACAAAATGAAGGTGTACGGCAGCCTGGGGCAGCTGGGCAGGGAGAGCGCTGTGATCGCGCAGTACCAGGCATACAATTCCGAGGTCCAGGAGGAGCTGGGAAGGCCGGCTCACTCCGTCAGCACCACTCCCACCTTTGCTGGTAAGAGAGATCGGCCCGCAACTCCCTCCTCTCCCCCCCCCCCCCCCCCCCCTCCACCGCTTATTAAGGAAGTGATATACCGTGAAAACTAGACCCCCCCCTGTTGGTAGTTTCTTAATAGCCCTGTGCATTTCAGGTGTCGCGGTTTACGTGGAGAGCTCGCGGTGGGACGGAGTGCCCTTCATATTGACCGCCGGCAAGGCGCTGGACGAGAGGGTGGGCTACACCCGGGTCCTGTTCAAGAAGCAAGCCTTCTGCCTTCAGAGCGAGTCGGTGAGGAGGACCGAATCGAGCCAGTGTCAGCCCAGGCAGATCGTCTTCTACGTGGGCCACGGAGACCTGAATTTCCCGGCTGTCCTGGTCAGCAGGAACCTCTTCGAACCGGCGATGGACCCGGCGGCCTGGAAGCGGGCGACTGAGCTTCCGGATGTCCGCCTCTTCGGTCTCCGTCTCTCCGACTTCCACGTCTTCAGGCCGGTGGTGCAGAAGGACGCCTACGCCGTGTTGATCCCCAACATCCTGCGGGCCAAACGGGATTCCTTCGTCAACACCGAGGGCCTGCTGGCCTCCTGGAAGTTCTGGACCCCGCTGCTGGGGGAAATCTTCGGGGAACAGCCTCGGCTTTACCCCGGTGGGGTGCAGTCCGGCGAGTCGTTGGACTTCGTGGTGGCTGGGAGGGAGGTGTCCTTCATCACCCCCGAACCCGCCCTGGTCCTTTCCGATGAGGCTCACCCCGCCGGCCAAGGAGCGAACAGCTACCGGGCCCTGCCGGCGGGTTTCAGGGGAGGAGAGCTGGTGTCGGCCAGGGCGGAGGTGCTCGTCTCCCAGCTGGCCTCTCGGCTGGAGGGGGCGGCCTGGGCCGCCGTGGGAGAAGACTCCACCGGGCGATTCCACCTGGCCCTGTCAGGGGGCTCGAGCCCGGTGGCTTTGTTCCGCAGGCTGGCCAGGCACCACCCCGACTTCCCCTGGAAACGCACCCACGTTTGGCTGGTGGATGAGCGCTGTGTTCCCCTGGATGACCCGGAGTCAAACTTCCGAAGCTTGCACGACCACCTGCTCCAGCGGGTCAGGGTGCCCTATGTCAACCTGCACCCCATGCCGGTCCAGCTGAACCAGAGACTGTGCGTGGAGGAGGACGGGGGTCCTGGTCTGTACGCCAAGGACATCGAGGTAATGGTCAACGGCACCAGCTTTGACTTTGTGCTGCTGGGTGCGGGCGTGGACGGGCACACAGCCTCGCTTTTCCCCAACAGCCAGGCCTTGGCCTCCGAGAACCAGCTGGTCCTGTTCTCCGAGAGCCCCGTCAAACCCCACCAGAGGATGACTCTCTCCCTGAGCGTCATCAACCGGCCAGACAGGTGGCGGTCTTAATAACCGGCAAGGGCAAGCGTTCCATCGTCAGCGAGATCAACCGGGTGGGGACGGAGCCTCAGAAATGGCCCATTACGGGAATCCAGCCTTCCCAGGGCCAGGTCACCTGGTTCATTGACTATGATGCTCTCCTCGGTTAAGCCGAGAGGTTCAGATGGAATCCTTTTGTGGCCTTGATTTAGGAATATTCAGGAATATATTTTTTTCTCTCTCTCTCTCCTTGTATCAAATGATTTCTCTCTCTCTCTCTCTCTCTCTCTCTCTCTTGCTCTCTCTCTCTCGCTCGCTCGTTACTCTCTCCTCTCACCCCCCCCCCACCCCACCCAAGTACGTCAATCTGTCTCTAAAGACCCTTCATCTGGTCCTAGAAAATAAGATTTTTTTTGTTGCACAGAACAAGTGCAGGTTATGTTCCTGCCCGACAACAACAACAAGGTTGCATTTATAGAGCGCCTTTCACGTCGGGAGGACGTCCCAAGGCCCTGGACAGTTGGGTTGGGACCCGAGCATTGGGGGGAGAGATGGTCAGGGGGAGGGGAGGGAAGGGAGGGAGCGAGGAGGGGGTAGAGAGTTGAGAGGGGAGGTGAAGGCACAGTTGAAGAGAAAGGTCTTGAGACCGGCCTTGAAGGAGGAAAGGGAGAAAGCGGCGAAGGCACTGGGGATGGAGTTGCAGAGCCTCGGGGATGAGAGGCTGAAGGCCCGACCACCGATGGTAGGGCGGTTTGGGCGGGGGGGTGTGGAGCAGACCGGAGCCAGAGGAACGGAGGGTACGGGCAGGTAAGTAGGGGGATAATAAGACAGGCAATAATAATGTCACGGCTTTTTTGGGCTGGTGGGGGGGGGGGATTGTTTTTCAACTCTTTCTCCCTTCCCCACCCCCCACCATTTACAAATAAAAGAGGCAACTACCGTACAGAATCAAACTCAACCAAGCTGGCTTCAGCACCCATCAAATCCCTCCACGACCTTGTCTCCTTCAAACTGTGCAATCTCCTGCAACGTGTGTGCCCGGGGCTCTTCAGACTCTAAACTACTGCTGGTCCTCGCTCCCTCTGTCCCACTACCTTGGGGGCCGAGCCTTTAGCCCCGACACCTCTGCCTTGCCGTCTGACACCGCTAAACTCTCTGCGTGATTCGTGGAGGAACTGGTGCGTAAACTACTGTTAACGGCTACAGGCGCAGGTGTATTTTTTTTCGCTCCCTGCAGAGGTGAAAGGCGAATACTTTTCAACAATCGATAAATTTATTTTTTTACTCCATTCCGGTATCTCTGCGGTTCTAAGAAGCTGAAGCGGGTTAGCGAACGGGGATTTCTGTGGCAAATTTTGTATCAGAAATCACGATTACGATTAAAGACGCCGTAATACCTCTTTTTTCGATGTCTGCATTTCTTTTCATGTCTTTTTTTTTGGAACCTTTTGTCAAAGAGAGGTTCCACTCTGGAGGATGAGGGAGATTTTTGCAGCGCTGAGTGGACAAGACTTTTAGTTAACGGTTAATTTCGAAGTCCATTTCTTTGTTACACTTTTCCCTTTCCACATCTCGACAAAACAGCAACAACATTTATATAGCGCATTCATGTAGGATATTAACTTGGGGGTGCTTTACAATCGCATGGCTCACATTATTTACTCGTTTGTTTGTTCATTTATTTAACTTACTCACTGACTCCATGGCTGTTTGGGGGACATTGCTGTGCGCGATTGTGCTTGGCCCACAAATACACAAGTCACTTCCATTTGATAGTAAATCCTGCGAAGCGCTTTGAGACGTCCTTCCGATATGATAAGGCTCCACATCAACTGCAAGGATTATTATTATTATTATTACGGCCTTCGCAGAACCCTAGTTACGCTGCAGACTTTTCGCCATGACATTCATTTGAGACTCCCTCTCCCAACCCCCCTACCCAGTTGCATTGGCTTGCGGAGAGCTGCTGCCAGGAATCTATTTGTGTTGTTCAAATGATTAAACCCAAATTATTTTGAACTTGGGCCGTGTTTCCCACTGGTGAAACACGGCCCAAGGTGCTGCAATACCTCACAGCTGATCCAATCGCACTGCACACTACACCATTGATCCACTCAAGACCGAGAACCAAAGAATTTTCCCATTCAAAAGAAGACCATTTGGCCTGTCGTGCCTGTGCTGCCTCTCTGAAAGAGAATCTCATTCTACGACCTATCTTAAACTATTTATTTCCCCAGAGCCACAAGATGGCAATCTCGTAATGCCAAACGGGTCATCCCTCCGGAGTCTTGACTTGGGAGTTGTCCGTGACATCAACCGGAGGGTTTTGAGCTGATCAGATCGCCAATAAAAAAAAAACCACCATCACTAAACTTGACAGTGATTAGCGTTCCAAGAAGAAGCTTGCGTGAACGGTGCTAAATATATGCAAGTTGTCTGTTGTTAACAGTAATTACTGTGAGAGGGTTCGCAAAAGCCTTAACGCCTTCGGAAAAACGTCTTTTCGTTTTGTTCCTTTTACCGCTCAAATTAATTTTGATGTCGAGGGAGAGAGAGAGGGAGAGTGCAAAATGAGTGCAAAAGGTCAGAGTGATTGCTGTACAGGGAGAGACTGCTGATCACAGACAGACTTGAAGACAAACCTTCTATTCTCAGCCTCTGGCGCCAACCTCCCGTAAAGCATCAAATTCAATTATTGTTTCCCTCCCCCCGGCAAAAAAAATTGTTCTGATGTCAGCTTAGGAAGAAACCAGCCCATGTGATTTGTACACAGAAGACTAGGATGTTCGCATCCTGTTTGGTGGGAGGGGTGGAGGTCATTAAAACAGCGCTTCGCAAGATATAGTGCAAAGTGGAGTGACTGTATACGTTGGTGGAGAAACCGCAGCAGCACAGCAAACAACCTCCCACGAGTAGCCATGGAGAGGGAGCGACGATTTTATCTAGGAGATTGTCGCCCAGGAAACCGGGAGAAGAACCTCTTTAACAATGCACGGCATTGATTAGGTCTCCGAGGCCACGAGATGAGGCACTTCGGGCCGTTTTGAAGCGCTTTGAGACGTCGAGAAGACGTGAAAAGCGCTATATCAAATGCAAGGATTATTATATTATTATAACCCCAAGACTGCCCATCTCCTTGCCAACCGTGGTAACAGTCAGGCGGGCGGCTCGGCGGTTTTGCGGTGAGGAACGAGAGGGTATTGTGACCGACAGTAGGTGGTGCTGTGCCATCATTAAAGTTGAGTTCCCAATCATGTATTGTACCGTATCAGCTGTATCAGTGTCTCACTTCCCCACAGCCAGAGAATCACTGGGAGATTTTTTGGGCGGAGAACTTGTTATATCGAGCATTTACATAAGCAAATGGCAAACAGGAAGGTTGACATAATCGCTGGTTGTTCCTTTGATGGATTGGCTGCCGGGTTTCTCCCAGGAAACACACAGTCAATCCACTTTAAAAATATATTCCGTGAAGCGCTTCGAGGCGTCTCAACGATGTGATAGAGTGCCACGTCGAACGGAAGGATTATTATTGTTATAACAAATTTTAATCGCGGCCGATGCTGATGTGAGCAATTGTTTTTTTTTTGGCGGGGGTGAGGTGGGTGGGTAGTTGGGGGGTGGGGTGTGGGTCGGCGGGTGGTGGGTTCGTTTGTGTTTTCAGCAACAATATGGATGAAACGACTCGGAACTGCTTCACGAAGGTGATGGGGAGAGGAAGGAGCATCTTAAAGTCTGTGGACCAAAGACATGGTCGGAGTTTTTAAAAGGGATTTGAAGGGAGGGAGAGAAAGTGCAAGGTGACATGATTTGGGGAGCACGTTCCAGAGAACGGATGCACACTGACTGAAGACTCAACCCCTGACAGTGAGACAGAGAGAGAGAGAGAGAAAAGAACAGGAGGAAGAAGAGAGGGTGTGGGCGTGAATTGCTTCTGGGTCAAGGTGATGGTTCAAACCCCATGTCAGAGTCTTGAGCTTACAGTCAAGACTTTCACTCCAGTGCAGTACTGGGAGGAGAGCTGCACTGTTGAAGCTGCCATGCTTCAGATGAGACGTTAAACTGAGGGGAATAGAAGCCAGATCAACTTGGGGGTTGGGGATGGGGGGAGGGGGGAGAGAGACTGAGACAGAGAGTGAAGAGTTCAGTGTTTCTTTTAAATACTAACGGCAACTCAAGGAATAGGCAGACAGAAGATTTTAACCGAAGGATGGCGGCTGAGACAATACAATGCTCCCCCCCTCTACAGCAATGGAACATCAGCATTGGACTATATAGGGACATTGCATCAACATTGGACTGTAATACAACACACGCCGGTAACCATGATATATTACAAAAACTAACACTTCCGCAAACATGACAGCTGTTGGATACCCATTAAGACAATAAGGACTAATTAACTAAGACCAATGGAAGGAGATCAGGAGGTAGAAAAGCAGGAAGAACTGAGTGGTGTTTTTTGGTGGGTGGGGGGGTTGGATTTGTAACTTGTGAGCTGAAATAAAAGAGTTTTCTACACGTGGATTGAGGGGAATATAACAATGGCAGTTGGGTCTGTGACAGACAATACTGTGATCGAGAGCCTGAATGCCTTTAAGCCAATTTAGTGTGATTAGTGAGGACACGTCAGGAATCAAGAGAGCAGTTTGGTTTCCGCAAATCCTCATCTAGGTGTGAAGCAGTGCTCCAGATTCAGACGAGAACTCAAAGTAAGTCCCCCACCCACCAACAACACAAATCCCATTTCTATTTTTCCGTTCTTTCGCTCAAAGAGAGGAGGGGAGGGAAGCTCTTCAAAGAATGAGATTTATCAGCTTATAAATTTACTGTGAAGCACTTTTGAGGCATCTCAACCACATATTCCCAGCAGGGCGAAACCTTGGGCAAGTTTCCTTACTCCACACAGAGCCTAATAAGAATCCCTCCAAAAAAAAACAATAATAAAATTGGTCATTTTCAATCCACGACTGTTTGTGGGACATTGCTGTGCGCAATTGGCTGCCGCGTTCGCCCACAAACATACAGTCAATTCACTTTACAGTATATTCTGTGAAGCACTTTGGGACGTCGAGAAGACGTGAAAAGCGCTATATCAAATGCAAGGATTATTATTATAATAAGTTGTTGTTATTGATAGCATTAAAGTACCTTCGAAGCTCCCAGCTTCTCTCTCCCCGACACAAGGGGAACGAGAGGAGATAAACACACTGAGCCTGGGCTGTACATATCGCAAACCGATTC